AAAGTGAAAAAAAAAGTGTAAACTGCTCAGGGCATTACCGGCCCCGGAAACGAGAGCAACCCGTCATACGTAAATGACTGGTCACAAGTTAGGCAGTATAACTAACAAATGTCCATTTTTATACAGATTTGCCTTTCGACATTTTTTTTTTTTTAATCGAGGAAGATTTAGGAACGTTCTAGTCGTCCTTGTAACTAGTGAAACTGTTACAAGTTCAATCTGATCTATCAGCAACGCTATGCAGGGACAGGTGTTTATAATCAAGTGCTACGTTGTTCGGAATCAAATGTCATACTTTCGATGATATCAATGGCATCTCGACGGTGTTGACCGATAATAAATGAAGGTCGAAACAAACCAAATATAGTGCCAATACTTAAATGATTCACCATGATTTCATAGAAAGTCGAAAAAGTGTAAACCTTATTATGGACAAAGGAGTTGGAACCAATTGGTTTGGCGGGAAACGTGCAGGCTGCCGAGGTGGCTCGAAGAGGAGCTGATATCCCGTCTCTTAGAATCTTACCGTTATAAAGGATTATAAAAACACATTATAAAGAAAAAATGATTAAGCTGAAGTTAATGGAGAACCAAATATGTATTATAAACGGGTAGCAGAAGAGAGGCTTGACGAGAGGGTATGATAACCTCCAACGACACCTATTTAGGATGTGCCCTATGTGCCTCTGACAAGGGTGAGATGGATGATCGGTACCTCCTATTAATATGTCCTGTTTTAATGTGTCGCGAATAACGGAAATAGGGAAAGAATTTTTTGATAGTACAACTTGGGTGTTGGTAGGTGTCGAATGGTCTACCAAAAAAATTAAAAAAGGTTATCACAACGGGCTTTTCATTGAATATACTACGAGTGAAATAATTAGCTATCCCATGAATATAGAGATTATTTCCATGTCTAATCCATGACACGCGATTTTGCTACACCTCCTTTCTGACGTGCTAGGCTTCGAGTAGGCCTTGCGCCAACTTTTCGATTCAAAAATTGCGATTGCCAAAAAGTGAATAGGGTCAGGGTATGAAAAGGGCCGGGTTTGTGAGTTTCATGAGAGCGCGTTCACAATGAGTCGATCACTTCCACTTTCACGTCCCAGTTACACAACCGGCTCGATTCCCGTGCTCGACCGGCGACGGCCAATTAAAGCATTCGGATTGCGCAAACGAAAGCCCGGCTTTGCCCCGCGGAGGACTTCGCCCTGCAAAAGACAAACTTTTACGAGCTTTACGCACGACTGAACCGCAAAACGTCCACTTATCTTACAAAAAAATATTCTTTTCGTTTTTGGCTGTCATATCGGATTATTTTCAAACTGCAGGTGGATTGGGGAAGAGGACTTGAAAGTTTCTCCAGAATAATAATAGTTCAACAAAAATTTCAGCAAACCTCACAGCGACATCATAATATAGAAAACAGATAAGGATGGAAGGATGTTTGGAAGATATTTTTTACAGCAAAACTCTGTGATTATACGTTCAATTTATCATTTATTTATACCATATTTAATTTTTATTAATCAGAATGCTAGACATTAAAATCGCTCAACTTTTTTTCCTATTGCTATTATTATGATCATTACACCTATATACCAATATCTACTTATTAATTATTTCCAGTTCAATGCTGTAATAGTTTCCCAGGGTAGACGAAATACCAGTTTCGTGACTTCTTGAAGCAATATTACCTTCATCGAATATCCCTTTGAAAATATTCTTAACAATAATTAAAAAATTTACAATTGTTTAATAATTTTTTCGTAAATAAATATTTCAGTGACCGTTGAGATCAGGATATTAATCAGGATAATTATATTTCCACAGTTCGTCAGATATTACTTTCTTTATAGTTAGTCGATTCCTACGCGTTATGTAATTGCACAATTTTATTATTATGTATTAAAATTTATTTGTAGGGTTGGCACGCTTGACAGAAAAGAAAGTCGTTTTGAATTGTGGGCGCGCAATTTCAACAGATTTGCACTTTATAGTGACCATAGTAACAGCCAATTAAAAATTCAAATTTGGTCTATTGTTTCTAACAGAAAATTTTACACTGTGTTAAGTCCAGATTTAACATTACCATTAGATCCATTATATTTCGTGGTCCGATTGACCAAATAACTTCTTTCAATTAATTAATCTTTATGTACGGTATTGGTTGAAGTGAAAAAGTCAGTGTCACGAGCGGGATTCGAACCCACGACCTTCGGCTAAATACGCAGCTGCTCTACCACTTGAGCTACCGTGACTTCGATCCACTCGGATACCAACTTCCCATCTCAACCTACCCTTCGAATTTTTCCTACTTTTTGCCATTAAAAAAAGAAAAAAATCGAAAGGTAGGTTGAGATGGGAAGTTGGTGTCCGAGTGGATCGAAGCCACGATAGCTCAAGTGGTAGAGCAGCTGCGTATTCAGCCGAAGGTCGTGGGTTCGAATCCCGCTCGTGACACTGACTTTTTAATTTCAACCAATACCTTACATAAAGATTACCATTAGATTGAGTGGTTCTTTCTTTCACGAGATAAGAACAGATATATTTTGTGGATTTCTTGTGGTTGACGAAGTTGCTGTTGTTTTTCCCCCGATTATTTTGGTCCGTCCAGTCTTGCGGGACTATCAAACGCGTCTAGGCATTTCTTCTATATTCGAATTTCATTTATCACGTACAAAACTGATTGTTCGTATATTTTATGCTTTTTCGGTTGTCGACCGTTGAATGCAGTTGTTTAGAAACTATGTCGGTATAAAAAAACAGTTGTAAAAAGCGATCCTGTGAAAAAATACGTTTCATCAAGTGAAGAATTTAAAGGGGAAGAGAAAGGCGAGGGCGTAATGAGTTAATGTCAAGGCAAAGGCATTAACGTGTAACTCGCGAAGTCGGCGGTCTCGAAATCCTCCCCGGGGGAAAAAAAGGTCTTTAAAAAAAAAAATTGGCTTTTGTTTTTAAGCAAAGACTTGAAAATAGATCAGTGTTCGAATAGTTCACTTCAAAATATCCGAAAGCAATAGTTCTTTTTTTTTCTTTTCGATTTTAGAGATTTATGTCTTAATAGATCTAGGCTTGTTATGTGACGTGATTATTAAAATAAATGTGATATGGTAAAAACTAACTATTGCACAGTTCTCATTTACTGTAGAACCTACAAAGTTCACTTAAATCTTTCTGTTCATGAAAAGTGGATTGTCGTTATAGTTTTCAGTTGGCATCAAATTTACAAAAATTAAATTAAATTAAAAATGAGGGATTTTTGATTAATTCATAATTTCAATAGTTAATACAACCCTAAAACCAATGTCAGCTGGTATTTCTCAAGGATCAGTGCGTTCACCCATCCTCTTAAAGTCTTATTTAAATGGTAATACTCAAAATAGCTAATTACTACTAGAAGTACCTGCAAGGAAACCGTACGTCCAAATTAAAAACATAATGGTCACTTCTAATTTTGAAGAGCAGCATCAAATACAAAAATTAAATGACTTCATGTTTTCCGAAATTAAATTTTAAAAATTAGCGAAAATGCACCACGGTTCATTAGAAATCATAAATTGCACAACATGGCTAGAATAAAAAGAATTATTAAATCTGATTATTAAATCTTAATTTCTGATTTACTTCTTACAATTAGTAGTTTTCTATTAAGTTTCATTTGATATTTGTTTTTCTATTTTATTTGATTTATTTCATGTCGCAATTTTTTAAGAGCTGTATGATTAAAACTTTTTTAAATTTAATAATTTAAGAAATAAAGAAATGAGAATTGACTTGAATTTACGATTTCTTGTTTTGGACGTCCTTGGACAACTTGTTAGTTCGAGTTCCGATAGATTTTTTGACTTTTTCTTGTTATTGTTGTTGTTATTGCAGAATCGTTCAATTCAGTAGCTAGCTTTTGATAATGGTATAAAAATGGCTTGTTGTTATAGTTTTCAGTTGACATTTTTTAATTTTTGCATTGTCAAATTTGCAAAAAATTAAATTAAAAAAATGAGAGATTATTAATATAATTAATATTGTATATTTAATAATGAAAAATATAATTTTTAGTGATCCATACTGTTTTCAATGTAGTGATTGCTTGATACATTTTGAAAATAGAAATTAACAGATTTTCACGCTCTCACCCTTCTCCTTGAAAATTAACAACTCGCGTTACATCAAAAGTATTTTCTTGCTTTCGGGGAAGCACATTTTCAAAAAGCGAAGAACAATTTTAACACAGGATTTGTCTCAAAAGAAGTGGACTTTATTTTTTTATTAATTGTTAATAAATTTTTAAAAATTAATTATTAATTTTTTTTAAATCTAAAAACATAATATTTCAACAAATAGATATAAAAAACCACGATGGTGATGATGCAAAGTCGTATTTCCCGTTAAAGGATAATCGGCCACCTACTGCATTGGTCTACGCTTTGCGAAGTTCCCCTGACTTTCACATAAATAAGCAACTTGTAAAGCTATAGGCCTACATCGCCACATCCTAGTAAAGCTGTAAATTCGATTCAATATTCTTGTAGTACCTACAATTTAGGAAATAGAAATAAAGAATGTCTCCTAATGATCAGTCTTAGTTTTTAACCGTTCTTTGTGAAGTATGTCAGACCTATATAGAATAACTGATTTTATTTATTAGATCCAAAATTGTAATTTTATAGGTTTTAAAATAGGTTAAAAAAATTAAAAATGTAACACTTCTATTTGGATTTTGTTCAGATATTAAAATTCAGGGGGACTCGGAAATAACAAAAGACAGCATAACACTTAGCATTCGTTTTTTTTTGTACTCGATTCGATGGAAAACTGTACTTTGGGTCCGAACATCATAAAATTCCTAAAATATCGTTTAGACCCGAAATTTCACTAGACAGGACGCACCAGATTGGGCGGGGTCATAGATAATCCTTTTTATTTCCAGCATCCGAGAGCACTGTCACATTCACTGAAACACTTCACTCTAAACTTAGAATTCATTTGCAACTTACTCAAAAGGATCAGCAGCGGAGCCATGACGGGGTGCTGAAGATATGCTCGGTGGGCCCATATGCCGGCCGTTTTATACTTCGCCCGCGGGGGTGGGAGCGTGGTCGGGAGGGGGCGGAAACTCAACCGCCCTTGCAACTCGTTCCCGGACCCAAAAAAGCTCTCACCCTTCTCCTTGAAAATTAACAACTCGCTTTACATCAAAAATCTTCCTTTCGAGAAAGCTCATTTTCAAAAAGTGAAGTACAATTGTAACTCAGAATTCGTCTCAAAAGACGTGGACTTCGATTCGATTATTCGACATCACAAGGATAACAGTTTCATAATTATTTACAACATAATAAAAGCAGAATTTCACCATCACACATTATATTTTGGCTTTTACTTTAAATCACTTTTTGACAAGTTGGAGCTTAAAATCTTAGGCTAGGGAAATTCCTCGACGCCTCAGTAGATTTGGCCTAGATTAGATTAGGTGGCTCAAAGTCTTATGCACTGAGTCGATCAAATTGTGCTCTTCCTCGTATGAGTTATAGATCACTATTTAGGCTGTTCCTTAAACACTGCGACTGATATTAGTCCATTGAGCACATCTCTTAAAGTTTCAGGCTTCTCCTCCAATGTTTCCTCTGCTAAATGGAACTTTTAAATTATGCCGTCGTTGTAACGTTTTAGTATTATTCTTGGAAGAAACTTCACAGAAGATTTTCTGCCTTTTTCAATATTTTCATTCAAAAATTCCACCGGCAATGTCTAGGTTTGCAGTGATCCTGAATTGTACGATTTTGCAGCGGCATGTCTATAAGTTTAGGCGTAACTGTTTTGAAGAAGCGTTGCCTGCCTCTGTCTTGGGACGTGTTTCCACCAAGTATTGAACTTGATATTTGAACTTTTTTACGGCAGTTTAAATTGTACAGAAGGGTTCTCGTTCTACTGAGGGGCTCTGAGGAACCCTTCATCGCTATAGATGATAGTAAATTAAAAATTATTATTTGGAGTCGTGAGATGCGGTCTGGTACCAGAATATCCAACGACAATACCACACGATCTCCAAATAATCATTAACTAACGGTCCCTAACCACCACACCTAAATTAAAAAGAAAAAATTTTGAAAATTGAAATGATACTAGTAAAAAATATATAAATAAATGAAAATAGCTATTGTTTTAACTTATTACATACTACTAACTTTAATATTAGAATTATTTTATTGTTATTGTTTTACTACTATCCCTCAGCTCATCTGACATTACGCCCATAGTTGGGCTCTCTCATCTTTCATTTCTCCCAGTCCTTCGCATCGCTTGTCCAAGATTGAAGTTCAATGTGTTAAGTTCAACTCCTCCATACATGCACTTTACTTATTGCTCTTTCGGTAAAAAACCGTTCACCAACTTCGTCCATCTTCTTTCATTTCTCCCCGTCCTTCGCATCTCTTATCCAAGCTTGAACATCAATGGGTTAAGTTCAACTCTCCATACATACACTCAACTTATTGCTCTTACGGTAGAATACCATTCACCAATTTCGTCCATCTTCTTTCATTTCTCCCCGTCCTTCGCATCTCTTATCCAAGCTTGAACATCAATGGGTTAAGTTCAACTCTCCATACATGCACTCTACTTATTCCTCTTTCGGTAGAATACCATTCACCAACTTCGTCCATCTTCTTTCATTTCTCCCCATCCTTCGCATCTCTTGTCCAAGCTTGAACATCAATGGGTTAAGTTCAACTCTCCATACATGCACTCTACTTATTGCTCTTTCGGTAGAATACCATTCTCCAACTTCGTCCATCTTCCAGCCTGTACACACGACTGCTCAGTTCCACTTAAGCATTTTTGCTGAGGTGAATCTGTCATTTGATTCCTCTTCCTAATTACTGATTTTTTGCTTTATTTTATTTGTTATATATTTTAAGTTTCACACCTAGCATGTGTGAGCCGTATCTTATCAAGAATTATTGAATTATAAAAAATAATTTTATTTATATACTTGGATTATTAAATTTGAATTTTGTACTTATTATTTCATAGTATTATTTCCATGCTTTCGGAAAATCAACTATCCCTAGTTTTCAAACAGTTCTGTAGGAATATTGTTGATAATTAAGCTTGCCTTCCTGGTGTTTATTACCAATCCAGCATTACTTCTTTCCCTATTGAGAAAACTCTTAACATTTTAATTAGCAGTTTATGACCAGATCTTATTTTCAAGGACAGTGCTGAACAAGGGTGTCTTAATTGTCTACCAAATATGAATTTTTGTTTTTGAGGCAAGTTGATTTATCCAGTTGTTCAAAAAATCTATTCACAACAATAAATGTCAAGACAATACTCCTCATCAATGACGAAATTGTAAAATAAACTTTTATAAAGACTAAAAACAATACGTACAAATTTAGAGGGAGAAAGAGAGCGAGTGATAGTGAATGAAAGAGAGGGTGTGAGAGAAGAAGAAGAAAAGAGAGAGAAAGACAGAGAAAGAGAGAGAGATGTGTAAAAAAAGTATTTTACAAATAAGCCCTCCCAGCAATAAGAATTTTGTAGTTTGGTCGTTTCCGATCAATTTGGTCTGCCTATCCTCTCTATTTTGGTAGGTCGGACGTGTTCGGTTTCATGCCATCTTCAGTAGTGGGCTTGTTCGTTAAATTTCTACCTCCGCCCTACAGATATTTTCATATCGAACATTAAACTTCACAACATCCAAAGGTCATAACAAGTTAGCTAGATAGCTTAAAAAATACGACCATATTATTTGTATTTGTTATTTAAAATAAATTTACCATTGAAGATGTCGAGAAACAGGAGAGTATAGCCATACTTTCACGTTCAACACACCGCACACCCCAAGAGGAAATTTCACAATTCGATTTTTTCTTGCATTGTAGTTCTGCATTTTTAATCAATAAAATACTACCTGAAATTTTATTTAATTAAAAATAATAAATTATCATGTTGATTCTTCCTGCTCTAATACCACATCCCATGTATGTATATATTATACTAAACAGAAAATTTGACAAAATAATCTCTGCACTTATACACACATTTTCAAGCGTTAGTAATAGTTCTGAATGTAAACTTTTTGAAAAAAGACCTTACTTTATCAAATTTAAATTTAAATGGCACAAATTTGAGTAATTCCTCATCAGAACCGTCAATTAATTTCGTCAATTGGTCTATTTATACGATTAACAAAACGAGAAAGTTAAAAATGTCTTAATGTTCAAAAAATGTTTGCTCTTCACTGGTAAACGGTTAAGCTGATAAACCAGCAAAATATAAAGATAAACAATTAATTTATTTCCGGTCGATAGCATGTAAATATCTCAATTGAAGAAAGAAAAACAATAAGTACAAAAATATTTATTTCCATGCATTCTCAGCTGTATCGGTCAAAAAGTCATTGATAAATATGATTTTATTAGTAAATACTTTTTTGCTGTTTCTTTTTTTCAGTTATATTATTTGGAGAGTAGGTTCTTGAACAGTTGGTCTTTTTGAGAATTCTATTTATTCAAAACTTTTGACCTGAGTCCTCTTCAGTGTTGTTAGAATTTATCGGCCGGACATCCTAACAATGTGATTGATAAATGCTAATCATTTTGCTAATTTTTTTCCACACAGTTTTTCTTGGCATGGCACAATTCTTCTACCATTGTCATGTAATAATCCCAGGGGTCTTTGAAAAGATGGTCTTTTTTGTGAATGCTCGCTCATTGTGCTTGGAAAGATTTCTAGTTTTAGATTTTTTTTAAAAGAACAAAGCAAACAATTTAAAAATATCCAAAATGATGAGAAGTTAATTAACCGACATGCAAAGTGGGCTAAACTCTTACGTTTAATCAAAGAGCAATTTGGAAAAAATTGGTTTTAATCGTAACCAATTGCTTTTTTAATTGGTCAATATCAATTGATAATAATAATATAAGTAACGCCTTTAAAGCCTCAGATGGCCAAGCAACCATCAAACCATTGAGGACAAATGTCATTAGCTTAAAGATGAAGCCAAATTGGAAAACCAAGTCACCCTCTGCTTGGTCCCAGGACATATTTGCTGCCATGTCGCCGATATGCCCTAAGCCCTGCTGTGGCATAGTGATTCACACTATCAATGAGTACCACAGACAAAAGTACAAAACGGAAATGAGGAAACAGTGGTTTTCCCTCATTGGAATCAATCCAACACCTTTCTAGCAAATTTTGGAAGGAAAGAACCAACAAGGACCCTGCAGACTGGAATGGTCATATGAAGAACGTCGGTATAACCCAATACGACACGTGCAGGTTCTGCAAAGAAGCAGAGGAGTCACCACCTTCCTTCTATCAAACTGTGACGCCATCTACCCGCAAGGAAGTGTTTCGGGGGTAGAACATAATTTTAGAATAACGTCAACCACTGATGCCGGGCCAACTAACTTCCTTGATGTACCACAGTGTGTTATAAGTATAGAAGGATACAACAGCTCTCAAAGTGCGCAGTATATTACACACTATGAACAGTACATCTATATCTAACGCCTTATAAAAACGGGTAATAGGGAAATGTAGGAAATGGGGAATAAGTACTGTTGCGACTTCTAGCCACGACTTTATTGCGAATGTACAGTACACATGATTCTCTATCGGCTTCCTGGACGAAGAGATTAGACTTAGAACTTAGATCGTGCATCTTGTACTTCATCAAGCCCTTTTTTGTACAAAGATCAGGTGTTTTCTTTTAAACAAGAACGATCTGTAAACAGCTTGGTAGAGAAATTTCACAAAAATACTACATCAATTAAACGTAACTTTTTCCGTTTCTAATGCCGGTAATTATTCGGATTTCAATTATATTTAACGAGGAGAGATTTTTTTAAACCTACTTCCGTTGAGTATAAAGTCGTGGCTTTACATATAAATCGTGCTGTAACGTTTATAACATTAGTTTTAAATTACTTTGTGTATTTAAAAGTAGTGATTAAAAAAAACACCTTCAATCCCGACTCAAACGCAGAAAATATTGACGACCAAGATTTTACGATTTTCATTTCTAAGTGGAACAGAATACCATTTTTAACTTAATGAGGGCCGATTCG